GATATATTGATGGCAACTAAAAGAAGATCCAAACCCAAGCTCGAACTCATTAAACCCAAACACTCAAACGGTTTGAATATGAGTTTGGGTCGTGTCTAATTAAAAATCATCCGTCAATCATTTGCATCTATATTCAAATTCGCGATTTATCTATATATTAAATTCATGGGTCATAAAAAATTATATAATGTCAAGTATTCATGACAAATCTCGTTGTTATTTTTATTTAAATAAAATAAATTTCTATTGTAATATATGCAAAAATCATAACACAGACATGAAACTCGAGATATAAAATTGCACATATCTGTCAAAGAATTTAATGTTCATCGCCGGGCTTGATCAAGCGAAGACTTAATAGCTGAACTTAACCATTCAATTCCATCAGCTACACCTTCACCTTTAAGTGCATTACTAGAACATATATGCCAAGATTTATTTGTAACACCATCAAGACCTAATGCTGATGATACACCAACATCCGATAAAGCATCACGTATATCCATTTTATTAGCAAAAAATACTATTGGAATATTGCGTGATGATATATCCGGATGTGAAAGTAATTGTTGAAGTTCTTCTCGAGCAACAAGAATACGTGTTTTATCTGAACTATCAACGACAAATATAATGCCATTCGTTGTACGATAATAATTTCCCCATAATGTTCTATAACGACTTTGTCCACTCATATCAAATGCAGTAAATGATAAACCTTTGCATACAAAATGCTCAAGATTAAAACCAACCGTTGGTGCAATAAAATCTGTTTGAGTTTCACGTGGTCGAAGATAATTTAATAGTGATGATTTACCACTATTATCTAAACCAACTACTAATACATTAACTTCACGTTTACCAAAACCAAGCCAATCGAAAAATGAATCAAGTAGACCCATGCATTCAACAACTAATAGAAGGATTACCTACTGATTTAGATTAATAGTAATAATAATGTGCAATGACAGTACATCAGACATGTTCGATTACTTAGATACAACCATCATCGATACTATCTGTAAAATAGAGGTCACTAATAATATAAAAATCGAATATAAAATAGAAAAGAGAGGACAGATGAAATAAAGAGTGGTGGTAAATCAAGGATTGAGATATGGATAAGTAGATGGCATTATTAAAATAAAAATTCTTAGTTATATATAAATATTTTCATGATATTTTATTAAATTAATTTATTGAAATTAATTTATTTCTTATTATTTATTCATGATGAAGAAGGATACATACAAATTTTTACTATAGTTTTATCAAATCATTTTTATTCGCTATTGAAATGGTTATTATCAACAAATACCCATGCAT